CAAGGAATGTGAGCCTTGAACTGCTGTTAAATCCTGGAAGTCAAGCAAAGCCGCAGCGCAAGAAAGCGTCAGTGAAATCTATTGCTACATGCAACTTAAGCATCGTCCGCTAGTGGCAGCACGAACCCGTAGCAATCTGCCTTAGATTTGCCGCGATTGACTTCGGTTTCTTCATCTTCCGGCACCCAGTCCCCATCCTCCTTCTGGCTGTACATGTTGGTTTCATCTGCATCGCACCTCACTCGATTTGGCTTCTTCTTCTTCTGGATGGCTTCCTTCAGGTAGAATAGCATTGCCAATGAGCTGGAAGCCACCATGGCCGTCCTTCTAATGTGGACGACCTGAAGAACCTTCTTCAGGTCATCCACGTTAGACAAGGCTCCTTTGCCTTGCAACGCATTGCCCGTCAGCTCAAACTCCTTTCTATCCTCCTTGGGCCTCAGCTTTTCTCTGACCGTCCCATCCTTGCGGATCAGCTCCTGCACCCAGACGACAGGCGACGGGAGCTGATCCGCAAGGATGGGACGGTCACCGAAAAGCTAAGGCCCAAGGAGGATAGAAAGGAGTATCGCGTGGCAAATGAGAAACAGTTCCTTTAGTTTCAGCGTACTTTGTGGAGCCGCGCTGGTCTCGACATGTTTCGAGACCCGGCAACTGAAGCCCGGCTTCAAGCTGCGTTCTGTGGCCTGATGGGCGTGACTAGTCAGCTCCACAAAGCTACTGATTTTTTCAACTCGCTCAATGCTGCTGGCCAAGCTTGGGCAATGGACAGGTCCGCAAACAGGTAGCGGTGCAATCGTTTACAAGATCAGTGACAATATTACCAAGCATGCATCAAGCATTGTGCAGATGTTGGAGGAGGACATGCAACGTGCAGCAACACCATTGTATCAGATGTTCAGACATCGCAATTGCCGAGTGATCCCGTGGCTCATGTTCGCGGTGTTGCGCGACAAAACACCGGGCAAGTCAGCTACTCCGAAGTAGGCACGGGCAAGTCGGTCGCCACCTTGCTGGCAGCCACTGAAGTGGCCAAAACAACCACAGATTCCTTCGTGGTAGTGCAAAATGATCTGACCAGACTCTCTGAGACTCTTTTATTCGCATTTCCGAGGTTAGCTCGACAGCTTCCATCGCGACAATTTTTTAAAAATTTTTGGAGGACAAGAGCATCAAGCTCCGTCTGGTTTTTGACAACGTGTTGGAAGGTGGCGTCAGCAGCGACGCAGAGAAGGATATCCCCAAAGCACTTGTTTCCACATCCGCCTGATCACAAACGAATCCGGTGTTGCCTGTTCTGATGCTTGCGAACGTGGGTGTGTGCACGCGCGTGACTACTTCGTGTAGGTTCTTCCCGTCAACGCGGCGGCGAAGACAATCCATGCATCTGGAAATGAAGTATGAACACAGCAAGACAACGTCACAAAAGTGCAGAACATGAAAGCTTTTGATGCAGTCTCTCGCCAATTATTTCCTGAACAGAACTGTGGCAGCACTTCAGAAATTTATTTGTTGAGTGGACCAATGAATCTACAAGAATGCAGAGTTGAATTTCGCAACATACCCTACTTTCTTACTTACCTCATGTTACATTGTTGTGATGTGATATTGAAATTTGAGGCTGATTTCTTGAGCCAAAATGGCCGTATAGGACCTCGCCAGCCGCGGCTGAACCGCACTCCTATAAGGAACGTTCCCCTTCAGACCCGGGATCGCCTGTGGAGAAGTCCAATTTCAACCCCTGGGTTTGCATCCAGGTGCAAAGGTTGTTTGGCCGAACACCTTACCTAGTGACCTTCGTAGGCGTTGATGTTCTGATTCACAACGAAGCAGGTGTCCACAAGCGTCACATTCGATCTCGATGCTTCTTGCCGTTGCCTGGCTAGGACTATGACTATGCCTGCCATCCCAGGTGCACAGGTTCCGCAAAGCAAAGATTGGTTCT